CAGAGAGAAAAGAAATAATGAAGCAACTGCTCCGGATAAGGACCGCAGATTGGAGGTCAATGAGGGGCTGTTATTCAGCTGGATGGCCTCAAGTTGAACTCGGTCAGGAAGATAAAAGGCAGAAAGACAGAGGGAGAGAAACAACANAATGTGACCGCAGTATTTGGGCATCAGGTCGTTCGGAGCTTTCTCCGGAACGAGACGGTGTATGGGCGTAAAGAAGCGTCTGGCGTTGAATAGTTAACTGACTTTGTGCGCAGCGCGCGAGACAAGTGTGGATATAAATGTAGTCTAACAAAGAGAACAGTTTATGGACGAAGGCAGCATGGAGGGAGATTTATGCAAAGAAGGGAAAGCGAGTCAAAAATTAATTGAGGAAAATAAACATGTTTAAGGAAAACTGAAAGCAGATACGTTTTGGTTTCATTAAAAAAACACGGTTGGGGGAACGCAATGTGGAGCTGAGCCCGAGATCGGAGACGACTGATGCACTAATGACATTACCATTATGACCGATGGTGATGATGACCTGTAGGGTAGTGGAGTCCGAAAGAGAACCGCACCATGAGTGAAACAATGAATGGGACTAAGGGGGGGGGGTTGGCAAGAGATCGTTAATAAGTAGGTGGATGGACGCAAGTACGGATCACTGAGGAAGACTGGCATTCGCAGGGAAATAGGACACAACAGATTCCAACGGGGATGGTTTACCGCAGCCAGTCGAAAAATGAAGGATCATGGGTTTTAGGAGAATGGCACAGAGTACAAAATTATTGGTAAAAAGAGGGATCATTGGATCTATTCACAGTTGGTAATATCAAGGTGTAAAAGTCGGGAAGAAGTAACAGATTGGGGATTGGAGAAAAAGAGACGGATAATGGAGAAATCGATCGTGGGGCTAAATATGAGTAATGCTCAACAGGGAAGATTAAAAGATTAGCGCCATAGGAGAAAAAGATTGGTATCTGTGACCAGAGTAAACACTGCGTTTCATGTTATTGAGGGCAGCAGGCACGCGATCTGATTTCGGTGAATGAGCGCGCACAGAACGAGACAGATTATTTAGCTGATTTATACCATTCCTGAACGAGGTGAGAGTGAACTGGGACCCCAAACCTGAGACGCGGACTGGCGAACCACATAACATCCAAACAGATTAGGTGTGAGCCGAGTGACAGCAGTGATGCATAGTAACCGATTCGTCCCTGATAAACATTGCCGGTGCATTTCTATGGCCGAGACTACCAAAAAGTCATGATGTGAGGCGGATGTCGATAGGTCAGTTTTATTGCTAAAGCTGGAACAAGCAAAAAAAAATTCAAGATCTCCTCCACAAATTGATTGGTAGCTTGAAACCAGCGGTAAGAAAAGCTGATATTTCGACCAGAGCCTTTGAGAATACGACTATTCACCGATATACCATCCCCCTAAAAAACTGCTCACTCATACTGGTGCTTACAATAAACGTGGCTTTTGGCTGATTCAAACAAACCACAGACTACATCTTAAACAAGGCATTTTGTCGAAGTGCTCCCAAATACAATTATTCATAAAGGCTCTTTTCGAAGCGCTTAGCACTGTATGCCCTGTTTTATGTTCAATTCTTTCGATCCATCTCCCACCCCACCCCATATGTACATAAATGAGCAAGTGGTCATTAGGGTAAGATGAAAAAACACTGTTTTGATATTCAGTTCGGCTAAGGAAGTTAGATGTGAAAGCGCAAATTTATCAATTGTGGTAGGTTTTCAGCTACGTGGCATTGTGAGAAACAGTGAAAATAACAGACCATGGCGGTACTGGAAGTGGAAGCCTCGACTGGCTCAAAGCAAACAGATAATCACAGATGGTACCTAAGCGACCGCGGTGAATCAGCACAAACAACGGTGAAATTTTTCCTGTTTTATTCACGATCAAGATGTTTCTCTAATTTTCTGGTCCTTCATTTTTATGATAAATCTATTAGGAATTTTATATTTAAGATTACTTTCGGATAGCGTTGTATCACAAATCAATTTAGTGTGCATCGTATGAACGACATGACGCAGGAGAGTCTGATCGTCTTTGTAATTTAGGATCTAACTACACATACACATATATTCATACTCTTACGAAAACAGAGAAACGAACTCATTTATGTACGTAATATTTAGATCTAGATCTACGATAGACACAATAGATCATTGTGATTCAAAGTTCGGGGTTGCATTGCACATACTGAAGCAGGATCACGTGAAGATCGTTGGATTTCAATCTTAAAACAGAAATCGTTGCATAACAGCTCTTGTAGGAGGTTTTAAGTTAGGGCGAGTTCAGACAGCGAAATTTTGTAANCACCTAGCTAATTCATATATCGATGTCGCCTGCTTCCCCGGAACCACGAGGTGGTTTAAGTCAATGTCTTCGGTATGCATCGGTTTGAGAGGCGAACCACCAGCACCACCACCAAGGTAAGGTTATAGAAATCCCTATCGCTCGTTTTTTACCACATCGATCCTATCTGCGCACAACGCAATAAGGCGCTTAAGGTACCAGAAGCACGCTATCGGTTCCCGCCAAGTGGGAGTGGGTNGGGTTGGACTATATTCCGTGTACTATCACACAAATCTATAAGCAATAAATCAAATTTACCTTGATCAGGGTCATTGTTTCCGCGAACTTTTCGCACAATTCCGCCGGGGCCACTACACGGCGAAGGACTTGGTCGGCTTGATCCAACAGATCAGGAGTGAATGATCGTTCGTCGGCGACCACTGCACGACGAAATGCCTGCACTGCTGACGTATCGGCTAGCAGCAATGAGGAAGGTGGGGGGGGATTGTGAAGATGAACTTTAGTGTGCGTAAAACAACAATCAACAATGTGTGTGCCCAAAAAAACAATTTGTGCGAGCGCTAAAGCTTCCCTGGCCAACCCACCCACCCCCCATACAAACCGCATCGTGAGTAATCTCGATGATCGGACAAACAAACATGTGATCGTGGTGAACCCGATTTCCGGTCTCAAGATGAAATCGTTTCTAGTAATCTGTGTTTTTATTTTATTTTATTTCCCCATGACAATTTTATTCCCAAGTAGTAATATATATATTGAGATGTATTGGAATGAATATGAATCTGTGAAAACGAGCTTGTTGGCCACTCTGTTGTTTTGTTCAAAATGCAATAGTTGGTGAGCAGCGTGGGCCTACAGGACGAGAAAAGACAAATGAAGGGATAACAAACATTCGATAATCAGGTTAGGGGAAATCTGCCTGTTCTTAATAATGTGAACGGGATGTTTCGAAGGCTGAAACAGATTTCATACTAAGGGTGGGCGAAAAAATATCACGAATTTTCCAATTTTGCGTGAATATACGGTGTACAATATAGATACGTGTGTAATAAAGTGAATGTGGATGATCACAGTGCTCGAAGGAATAAANGAATAAAATCGGAGCAGCTGATACAAGGCGCCCATATTAGGTTATCAACATAGAGCAACACATACACTGAAGCGAACTTCGATCATTGCAACCAAGTTCACAAAGCATACAACGCAAATGTGAAAACGGAACTTGGCTAAAAACTGAACCTGATTAGATGAGTGACCGGTGCACAAATTCCAAATGTGTTCCCGTTCACGTAAAACAGTCTGACCGGCTGAAAATTAACAGCAATAGAAAACCTGGACTGCCTCTGGGCAGCTAACGGGTGCGGTCTCGTCAGGAAACTGGGTGAAGACAATTATTTTGTTTGCAGATTATTGTAACTCCCTC